GAGTGTTATGCTTTGCTAGATCTTGTTATGTTGCCTTTGCCTTTGCCTTTGTCTTTGTGATTGATGTATATGATGTTGGGATGAATGGGTTTTTTTTTTTTTTTTGGATGAATGGGTATTTATTGATGAGAATTCATAAAATTTGAGATGAGCCTGTAGTTTAACACTTTTGACTTTTTGTGATAACCATGTTCCGTAATATGCTAATTGCTCCTTATTATGAATATGATTATGTGTTTGATATGATTTTGTATGTCATTATGTGAAAATATGTGGTTTTGAATTTCTATCTGCTCACCGTAGGAATATCTATTTGATTGTTTGCTTTGGAAATTAAATTGAAGGCCTTATCGGCCACAGAACCCGAAATTGACTGCGCCTTTATGATTGGCGTAATTTTTAGAGCCTACGGTGAAATTTAATTGGAAATTGATTCGGATCAGATTAAATTGATTAAAATAATGACTTAGTGCTCAAATCATTTAATCTTAAAATAATATGACTAAGGGAGCTTCTTAAGGGCATTATACACCCAATTCTCCTTCTTGGTATTCATTTGGCTGATTTAACTCTAAGAAAAGGAGAGAGGGTCGGCTTAGAGAGAGGGAGAGCACACAATTGAAGTTTGATCTTAAAAGCTTGGAAATTTTGAAGGCCAACTCTAAATTTGCTATAGATTGGAAGAGTTGAACCTCTAGGTAAGCATATGAGCATGAATTCATGAGTATATGTTTGTAGATTTGTGTATTCAAGCTAGTTGCGTAATCAAGAGCAAGAATTAAAATGAAATTGGGTTGGTTTTGGTGATTTGGAGATCAATAGATGCATGCATGTGTGTAATTGCTTTGAATTTGTATAATTGAGCATGAAAGGTATGATCCATGTAAGATTTTGGTTAGAATTCATGCTTGTGATCACCATTTGCACCATTTGAGTTGGTAATGAGAGTTATATCTCACATGCATGTACAATTTATAAGAATATGAGTTTGAATGTATGAGTTTGTTATGATGGAAATGAATTTGATGTAAATTGGGACATGCATGTGACTAAATTGTGAAATTGAACTTCATAGTGTTGTAATTTGGGGTTTATACCATGTTAGTACAGGTGTATTTGGAGTTTGAGCTATTGCATGCAAGAAATGTTGGATGGAATGTCAAATTGGAGCTCAAGAACATGTTCTGGAAAACCCAGAAAATTTGATGTCCGCTCGAGCAGGGAAACCTCCGCTTGAGCGTGAATTTCGTGCTCCCAGTATTTTGCAGACTTGGATGTCCACTCGAGCAGGGAGCTATGTAGACAGACCTTCAGCTCGAGTGCCAGACTTCACGCTCGAGCGTAATTTTGATGCATCCAGCACTTTTGCAGACCTCATAGGTCCGCTCGAGCGAGGACCCTGTTTTCTGAAATTTTGAAAAGGCATTCTAAGTTTCGTTTTCCGCCCTCTTTCACTTCTAAGTACTCTTAGGCATGCATTAAGCATTGTAAATGAATTAAAGGGATAAGAATAAAGACTAAAGAGGAATATGTGAATTAAAGAACGAATTGAATTATTTGTGACCCGTATGTGTTATGTGATGTGTAAGGTCAAGCTCCAGGGCAAATCAGCCAATCGATTATTGTGAGTAGTATCTTAATAAAGATATCTAGAATATGCTATTTGTCCAACTGCTTAGCTTCCTATAAGTTTGTTAATTTGAATTGTGGACAAACGCTTGCTATGCCTAAAGAGCAAATGGGCCAAAGGCCAGTCTGACACGAATGAAAGTTTGATACGAAAGCACAAATGGGCCGAAGGCCAGTCTGGTACGAAAGTATAAATGAGCTAGAGGCCGTTTTGACAAGAATGAATAGATGGGCCAGAGGCCGTTTCGACATGAATAAATGAATGGGCCAAATGCCATTTTGACACGAATGAATGAATGGGCCAGAGGCCGTTTCGACATGAATAAATGAATGGGCCAAAAGCCAATTTTGACACGAATGAATGAATGGGCCAGAGGCCGTTTCGACATGAATAAATGAATGGGCGGGCCAAAGGCCAGTTTGACATAAATGACAATATGAATTGGGCCCAAGGCCGTTTGAAGCATGTTATTCTACGTACCGTTTGTATAACTCCTTTATTTGATATTATTCACTGGGTTTTCGCTCACACACATTCATGTGTTTATAGGTGAGCCAAGAGAAGTCCAACCCAGCCCCAGTGAAGTTTGTGAGGAACAACAAAGGTTTTGAAGAGTCAGCCCTTGCGTCTCACGCACGAGACCCACCTTCGCCTTTCTGTCATTCTGTTTTATTTTGTCATGTGGGCGAAGTCTTTGAATATGTTGTATATAGTTTTCTGGGGTTGACTTAGACTTATATGATCCTGTATGTACTGAACCTTATGTAGTACATATTTTGTTGTGAGTTATTAATGTGCATATGTATGGTTTGCTATGATGTGTCATGTAAGCACAGCTCTATGGACAAAGTTTTAAACTGCTTCCGTTTGGCCCCTATTAACTCTGTTAACATACATTTGGTTTGGTTTGAGGCCGTAGGTAATCTCATGATTACTGGCCGGTTATATCCTCAACCCACAGGGGCGGGTTCGGGTCATGACACTTTTTGTAGCTGTGGTTAATTAAGGAAGTCTGAAGCCACTATTCAACAACAAAGAAAACTAGAGCCTAGCTAAGGTTGCATTTACATATACCCAAGCCACATTTTTCTTTTTTAATAATGTTTAATATCTCACATTTTCATGGTCTGAATGGTTCAAATATTTCAAAATGACATCATTTTACATTCGAGTCATTCAGACCATACAAATTCGAGTTACAAAATTTTTTTTTTATTTATTTTTTTTTTTTATTCTGGTTCACATTGCTTGTAATTCTACATCATCAAGACATAAGATGGTGTCATATACTAGTTTTTACTAAGAAGAAAAAAAAAATTGTGGTTGAAATTTTGTTTTTCATGCTCTTAAAAAGTCCTCTTTTTTTTCTTTAAGATTTGATTCATATAAGATATTACAATAAAACTCAATGAATTACAACCATAGTAACGAAAATGAAATACAATACAAACTTTTTTACAAAGAAACTCTCGAAGTGGGAGATAAAATTCCAATGAATATATGAACAATAAGACTGATCTCCTAGTGAGGTGCATGAGTTTTGGACAATCAAGCTAAAACCTTCAAGTTTTTTTATTTTTGTATTTTTTTTTATTTTTAGTGAATTTTTTTAATATTTTAGCAATTTTTTTTACTTTTTAGATACATTTAATGTAAATACAATTAAAAAGTATAATATTTATAATTAAAAAAATTAAAAATTTACTAAATACCACAAATACAAAAAGAAAATACAAAAATTCATTATATTTTTGTATTTTTGTATATTTATTTTATTTAAATATTTTTTTACAAATATTTTACTTTTTAAGCACATCAAAATAGTAAAAAATTGTTTAAAATATTTAAAAAATTCACTAAAAATAAATAATAAAATAAAAATATGTAAAATAAAAAATTTAATTTTTCAAAAAATTAAATTCTGAAAATTGGAACCAAACGATGTGATTAGTTTTTAAGTGAGCTAGTGAAAGCTAGGACCAACAAGTGGCAGATAGAATCGACAACAAATTGTGTTCAAACTTTATAACCAACTTGATAATTAAATAGAAGTACACATTTAACCTGCTTACGAATGAGAGTTCAACCATTCATAAGAGTTTAACCATTCTCGTTTAACACTGGATTTTCTCAAGATTCTAAATTCTTTTAACTTCTTTCATGATTATCTCAAAGGGGAAATAAATTCCACAAAAGAATTATTGGAAGGCTTACTAGAAAACAATTTAAAATCCAAAGGTTCAACAAAAATTAATCCTCTTCTTCAAGGGCCTCACCCATGACAATTTAGGCCAAGTTTGGCATGATTGAAAAAAGACAAAAAGTCAAAAAATCACTATCCTATTTAAGTCACATCATCTTATTTAAATCACATCACCTCTCTAACACATCACTTCAAACCCAACCCAAACCCAACCCATATTTCATAAAAAGTCAAAAAGTGCACTTATTTAGTCTTCCCAAACTAAGCCTTAGGCCAAGTTTGGCATCCTCCAAAAAATCTAAGAAGTCAAAAAGTCACTATCCTATTTAAGTCACATCATCTTATTTAAGTCACATCACCTCTCTAACACATCACTTCAAACCCAACCCAAATCTAACCCATATTTCATAAAAAGTCAAAAAGTACACTTATTTAGTTTTCCCAAACTTGGCTTTAGTTTTAGATGGGCAGACTCTAAATTATCTAACATTGACAAAGAATATTGTAGATTTGGACGTACAATTTAGCTTGTGTTTTTTGGTATAGCAATAGCTTATAGGGCTTAGAGCATCTCCAATGAAACTCTCAAAATACTTGTCAAAGTTATAATTTAACAATAGTGATAAAAAGTAAGTCTCCAATGGTCTGCTATTTTACTTGTCAAAGATGACATATGCCATATCTATTCTCAAATTTGGAAAGTAGAATAGCAAATGCCAAACATGTCACATCAACAAATATGAACATATTTGTGGCTCCAAATTCAGTTGAAAAAACAGAATTGAAACAGTTGAAAACCAAATAATTTTTCAAATTTAATTTTTCAAATTGAATTATATTTAAGTTTTTTTTCTAATTTTTTTTATTTTTTATATTTGTCTAGTCAGGAATAATATAAATATATAATTTTTTTTACAAATTGTTAAAAAAAAAATCATAAAAGACAAAAAATAAACAAAAATAAAATCAGAAAAAAACTATATCCAAACAACGCCTACAAACTTAGAGGGAAAGTTGGTTGAGAATTGCCAAAATAGCAAGTGACCATTGAAGCACCATTGTTATAATTTGACAAAATAACACTATTCATTGCCAAATTATAACAATAGCAATGATATTATAGCAATAACCATTGAAGATGCTCTTAGATAGGTTTGACTTCGCAAATTTGAGACTATAATTAGCCTCCAAAACAGATGACCAATAGCCCTAGACTAACCCTCATCATGAAATGAACAATACATTACAAAGTTGTATGCAATAAAATTATCCTATCCAACTATTCCAAATCTCGGGCCAGTACCACAAAGAGGATGAATGTGAAGAAGGATCATAGCAAACTTTTGTCCGCACAACCAAGTCAAAGGCTGCAGCACCAAATATGCACAAGAGCATCACACAGTTAAGGAAATAGAATGATGTTTAGTCAAGTTGTTTCGTCCAATCAAAAGGTTCCCAATCTTTGACAAAACTCACAACAGCTTGCTTTTGTGTCTCCACTGAATCATGCTTCCTACGACCATACATGTCCTCTTCCGGCAATCGCAGCATCCCCCTTATAACATTGAGTCCAAAGTTGCTTTTGAACTGCTTTTCATCGTCCATAACATGAACAAACCCCTTGTTCAATCCGAATTCAACATGGAAGTACGGAAAATCCTTGGGGATTGAACCGCGCAACCCCTTTTCACTCGTATCAATGAGCTTCTTTGAATTGTGCTGGCTCCACTCATCTTCAGCTTCATCAATTGCCTGAAGCAAACTCGTTTTAGAAACATGTAAATAGCAAAATAATCAAATATAAAAGAATTGTAAGTTAAATTTCATCAACATTGCTTGAGATCCAAAACAATCTTTAGTTTGGTCAGTACTAGAATCAGGCATATCTTTTTTGTAATCCTTGTTTTTTTTAAGACCAATAGCAAGATTTCACACAGTTTTCCATTGGTGATGACTACTTACTACCAGGCTAAAAAATGTAAGATGATAAAATCAGCCACCACATTTGGTTCAGTGTCTAAATGCTCCATACTACAACTTCACAACTACATTGTAAGACATATATATATATATATAATAAAATAAAATTCAACATACTGGTAGCAAATATATAAGCTCTATAGTAGACTGTACATGGTATCAAATAATAAGGAGAACGCAATATTAAAACCACAGGCAGAATTCAACATGTGAAAAGCAACAAAATCAAAGTTCTAAATTACAATAAGAGGTCTAACAGAGCAAAGTTGGAGACTTGGCGGCCTTAAAAATAATGGAAGATCACCCAACCTAGTCAACTTTATGACCTTTCTTGTAACATTCAACATTTATAAGTATTCAATTTGCCAACAAAGGGTCAAAAAGAAGTAAAAGGCTATATTTTTTTTTGAAAATAAAAAGGAAGCAGTAACTGTATTAGTAGGTTACATCATACGAATAATTGCCTCAGACGTCTAATTGAGGGGATTGGGCTGGGAAAATTTCAGCTAATCTACATATCTTTATGCTGCTCATCAACTTTGCAGCATAAAAAGACACCACACAAATGAAAGGATACAATTGACAAGTAGTGTGGGCATTAAAAAGATTGATACTAGAATAATGGTAATACCTAGAACACTGAAATCAGTTTTTCCATGCCAGCAGTCCATGTTCTAAAGTTTCAAAGAATATTCAGAAGCTGAAAGTCCATAATCCAAAGAATTTGTGTCATTGCAACAAATAGTATGATATAAAAAGTAATATACAAAAAAATTTGCATAACATAGTTTTATGTCTAACTTTTAGCACTCGGTTTTCTTCTGAAAAAATTATTTCAATTTTCTTCTTTGCACTCGCT